AAAAAAAATCCACCATTCTTCTAAGTGACCTAGATCCAAGCTCATTATGTACCTGAAAGGTCAGTACTCATTGCTGAAATTGAATGTGTTTTTAGCATCCTGTTGTGCTCCTCTAATGCTGCATTTCCCTGTTAAATGCTAGATATAATGGAAGAGTAATCAATGTGTGTCTCTATGTTTTATTTTGAACTCGAATGAGATGCGAAGATAACAATACAATGATTACTGCATTGTGCAATACACTCCCCAAGGTGAGCATTACAAAAGGGAAATATTTAATATGAATGCTTCATTTTCAAAATTCTGAAAAGAACATAAAAAGAAGAAGATAAGAACTTGGACTGCATTCAACCTGGCTTATCAGGAAAATCACATCAACTGAAATCTTGTTGCTTGGTGTAATAAATCATATAAATGAGGATTTAGGAGTCAACTCCTCTGTACATTCTTCTGATTCAAATGCTAGTCTAACTGCTACATACTATGCTAAAGTAGGTTGCAATTCAAGTAGGCCTGTTTCAATCAATGCTGCTTATGAATAAGTTGACTCATCAAGTCCCCGTTGATTCAATGGGTCTATTCTAGTGCATTTTACTTTGCTAAGCAACAGGATTTGGACCATTATATTCTCTCTCTATTTTTCTCTGAAAGATCGTAACTAGAGATGGGGGCGAATATAAAAACGAATCTGTTTTTTTTTTCAACGATGAATGAAAATGAGAAAATATTCATTGATCCATATTCATCCGGACTTAAAATTTGACAAATATGGATTGACTGAAAATGAGAAAATATTCATCAATCTGTATTCATCCGGACTTAAAATTTGACGAATACGGATTGACAAATATTTAACGAATTGGATATTTTTGTCGAAAAAACTGATCCGTTTTTATATTCGTTCCCTTCTCTACTGGTGACCCATACTTCCTCCCTAAATTATGAGTTGCCAGTGGGGTGACCCATTCTTCCTCCCTAAATTATGAGTTGCCAGTGGCTCAAAGGACAGCAAAGACACATGATCACAGCATGACTTCCCTGCAGATATATTGAATCAAGCACCCTTGATCCCCTTTTTCATTTAGTGAAGCATCTGATTTCTCCTTTATACAAGGATCAGACATTGTCTCCTTTGACCAATAAAGCAGAACCCAATAAGAAACATGTCACTTAAACCTTAACATAAAACCAAAGAGAAAAGCATGTACCGAGGATGACACTTACTCTGTGCAAACTTGGGAGGGTTGTCGTTGACATCAGTCAGCGTAATTGTCACGGTGGTGGTTCCAGACAATCCACCCATGTGGCCACCCATATCTTTTGCTTGGATGACAACAGTATATTCTTCCTTGGCTTCCCGGTCCATATTTGAAAGAGCAGTCTTAATAATAGCTGGAAGAAAAGAAAGTCAAGATGCATGAAATAGAGCATATATTCTAGAGTCCAGAAAGTTACTTTAAAAAGTAAGTAGTTCCATTATAGTTCCAACTCAGTATTTAAACAAACAAACAAACATAAAACACCTAGATGACATTCTATTTAACACTTTAAAGAAACTAAGGTTGGTAGTCTGTTGTCTAAACATGGAGTGGAGGGCAAATAATGTAACCATCCCTTCTCATTCCACATTGAAATCCATTTCTCCTAACGGAGCTGGAGTCAGCATGTCTCTCTCCGGAGCTGGAAGGCAGCATGTGTTGTTCTGCCAACTCCTGCGACGTTGCTGGAACCAGTTGTATTGGCTCTTGCTTTTCCGTTGGACCATTTCAGCAATGTGGAGAGGGGGGATCTGCTGCTTGGGTAACAGCCTATCCTCCATATTACCTTACCCGGGCTTCATGCTCTGGAGAGGACACTCCTCGATTCAGAGCATATTACCATAGTCTCTCGAGACTGAAGGATGCCTATGCGATGAAGTCGATTCTCTGGCTGCAAGTCGAATCTAAATTTTGCAGCCAGAGAAGTCTGTAACTCGAAAAGTCTGTAAGTCGAGGGTCCACTGTAGTTCCATTATAGATCCAACCCAGTATTTAAACAAACAAACAAACATAAAACACCTAGATGACATTCTATTTAACACTTTAAAGAAACTAAGGTTGGTAGTCTGTTGTCTAAACATGGAGTGGAGGGCAAATAATGTAACCATCCCTTCTCATTCCACATTGAAATCCATTTCTCCTAATCTGTGCCTAAATTTCTACATTCATTTGCACATTCTACCTGATTTTCCCTCATTGATTAAAGCTTATGTTTGTGTACACTTTTTGAATGACATGCACCTTAGCCACCCACAATTTATAATGTGTATATCGTCTGGTGATGTATGGAAGTGAGAGCTGGACCATAAAGAAAGCAGACCGCCGAAGAATTGATGCCTTTGAATTGTGGTGCTGGAGGAGACTCTTGAGAATCCCCTGGACTGCAAGGAGAACAAACCTATCAATTCTAAAGGAAATCAACCCTGAGTGCTCACTGGAAGGACAGATCCTGAAGCTGAGGCTCCAATACTTTGGCCATCTCATGAGAAGAGAAGACTCCCTGGAAAAGACCCTGATGTTGGGAAAGTTATAGATCCAACCCAGTATTTAAACAAACAAACAAACATAAAACACCTAGATGACATTCTATTTAACACTTTAAAGAAACTAAGGTTGGTAGTCTGTTGTCTAAACATGGAGTGGAGGGCAAATAATGTAACCATCCCTTCTCATTCCACATTGAAATCCATTTCTCCTAATCTGTGCCTAAATTTCTACATTCATTTGCACATTCTACCTGATTTTCCCTCATTGATTAAAGCTTATGTTTGTGTACACTTTTTGAATGACATGCACCTTAGCCCCCCACAATTTATAATGTGTATATCGTCTTTGGCGTGCCTGCTTTATTCCTGTAAAATACCCCATGATATTTAGTGCCCAGAATTTTGAGGAAGAATGCATTTCCTCCCATAACAACTCTTGGAAGATATGAAAGGGCTTCTATTTAAAGTCTTGTCTAATCCAACAAAATTGTTTTCTGTCCTTAGCTAGGGAACACAGTTACAGTATTCCTTCTGGACTTGCTATCATCCTCTCTGCGAGGGTACTTCAGTTTTGGCCTATCCAGGTAGACAATTACTTTAGCCCTCACCCAATTTAAACTGAAAACTGTTCTGACCACATCCAAATCAAACGGAAAAATGCCTGTAGCAGACTCTGTTCCTCCTTCAAGCTCTGTGCCTCTGTAGAGAGGAGAGACTTCCAACCATCAAGAAACATTTAATAATGCTATTGCTGTTGTTGTGTTAAACCAATGATGAATCCATTATTTGCTAGATAATCAACCCATTTTCAGTAGTCAAGGCATAGCCAAACTCACAATATTTCAACTGAAGTTTCTCTAGAAAAGTGTTTCTCCCCAATTCTAGTTTTGCTTCATTTTTTAAAAAATGAAATCATTTGTCTGTGAAAAGGGAGCAAGAAGTTCATGTTATGGAATCATCTTAGTAATAAGTGAAGCATTAAGAGTGTCAAGGGAAATACAATCCACCAGTGCACTGAGCTTTTAAAAATCGAAGTGCTCCAGGGTTACTTTCTCAGGCATGGATGGGGTGGGGAGTAACTTTTATCTAGGAACTTATCCTCTCAGAGCTTTCAGCTGGATGACTTCCTTTTGTGGAAGCATTTACAATTGTGCACTAATAGCGTGATATTCATTTTCCTTTTGCTAAAAAAAAAGTAATTATGTAACATAGCATAATAAAAAGGTTTGCAACTGAAATTGTGCACCCCTGTGATCATTCCATTTTACCAGCTCAGTGCTTTCCATATGTCAAAGGTGAGAACAATTTTTGCATGGCAGTAGATGAGAATATTTCATTGCATAAAAAATTGAAAAGGCCTGCAGTTCAGTTGGGAGCCCACTTGAGACAGGATCTGAAAATAGTTACACTGACCCCCAAAAGCCCCCTTTTTGGAACACTGAAACTGTGATGCAGAAGGACATGAGTCTTCTCCTGGGTTCACTCCTGAGTCTGCACACCTAACTTTTGATGGTAGCCAAGAGGGTGTTTTAATCAACAATGTGTTATACAAAATGGAAAAGCATGCAGCCAGATATACACATTAACTAATACACATAAAATCAAGCTCTAAATGATCAGAGACTGGGATTTTTTTCTGATTTAACTCTTTTTATTTAAGTAGTCATTTTCGGTGTCACCTGTCCAATATCATCAGAGAGGAAAGGAATTATGCGTACACTCCTGCTTTACTTTTCACATCATTTACTGCCGGTTGAAGATGAAGAAAGGAAATGGAGCAGAGAGAGAAAAACTCTCAAGAAAACCGTGCAACACATCTAATGCTCACAATATCTTTCATTCAAACCCAGGGAGAGAGAAGGCTGCTACATGGACTCCTATCCCCATCAATGTCAATTCCAGTGAGGCATATACCAGGGGTGTGCAGTCCTTCTAAAACTAGAATTCACATAACTATGTGTTTTGCATGGGAACGCAGCAGAATTTAAATATTTCAACATTCCATTTGTTAAAAAGTCAAGTTAAAGCTGGGCACACAGCAGTCAAACACTAAAAAATGGCCATAGCAATACTATTTAACTATTACTTCCATTACTCCTTGCAATCAAGTTGATTCTGATTTAGGGTTTTCTATGCGTAAAGAAGTAATTTATCAGTCAATTCTTATGGTGTTGATTAAGATCATGTAGCCTACCCAGGACCACATTGGCTATCTCTTCTTCCAAGAAGCTCCATAGGAAATTGAACACTCAAACTCTGACTTTGGAAACAAGTGCTTTAACCCACTGAGCTATTCAATTGGTTGTATTGTCCCAGAAATGAATCTGTGAATTATACTACTTAATTGTATAAAGAAAGGAAAATGTCCTCATAATTCAGTTTCTTATTGCTACCTCTATTTCCCCTCCCCAAAGTCAAATAAATCAATAAAAATGCATAGCTTTACACCTTTGCAAACATCTCTAAAACACAGATCCTATTGAAAATCTGGCATGTCTAAATACTTGAAGGGCCAGCACTTCGAATGTTACTTTTTTAGACTACAGAAACCAATTCTATGAACTGTAGTTGAAAAAGTAATTTACAAGTTCAATGAAGGAATAGCAGAAGTCATAAAAAGGTCAGGGTAATAGGGTGGAAGCTACTGAAGTTATAGTCAGTAGAACAGTGGCTAGGATTTCACCTGGAACAATTTTAAAAAGAAAAAATAATTGAACAGAAGTTATGGAAAAAATATTATCTATTTCTGAATCAGTAATGAAATCAATACAATTCATTATCAAAAGGAATTAAACTTCTAACAATTATTTAAAAAGTGAAGTAACTGATATTTAGATTCACAACCACCATCTCTCTGTGACACTCTTACACTGTAGGTTAGTAACATAAAACAGTCCAAGGGTGAGTGAACTTTATATACTGCCTGGATGAAATCCTGTTAATGTGACTACATCTGCAGAAGACTGATAGTTTCATCAGGAAAGGGCTTTTTTTTTTGGAAATCAAATATTTTCTACTTCTGTCCCGCAGCTCCTAAATCTCCCATGATTCCTTTTGATTCTGTAGAAGTCATGGGTGCTGCAGGAAGGAAGATGGAAGTCTTTGATTACTGAAAATCACTGCTACTAGTAATGTAAGCCGAACAGTGGACATTTTGGTTAGCGTTGTTCAGCAGCTCTACTGACTCCAGATCACCCTGCTTGATTGCTAAGAGAGTCTTTAGGAGTCTTGACACTAAAAGTTTAGAATTCCAAGGCAGAGTCTGGCCCTTAAGACTGCAGATTGTTAGGCAAACCCTGCATGGCTGTAATATCAAATGCCAAGCAGGATCAGGCCTTGAGTTGAGGGTGCAGCAGGCAACAATTTTCTGGGGAGAATGAGTCTGGGAAGAAGACTCATTAGGATCCTGGAAACAACAGCTCCTATCTGAGTTTCGTAGAAAGGTCCCAGGCTGGTGAACAAGATTTTCCCCAGTCTGCAATAATCCACATCAGAGTTAGTCTCAGAGAGTTGTAAGGTGTGCCTTGTCCTTAGGTTGATCAACACTAGCACAGTTGTTGATTAGTTTATTGGAGCCAGCTGCCTCTCACATTGATAAGGGCAGTTCGTTAGAACTGTCAGTGTCTTCGTTGTCGTTATCAGCCAAGGTCTCAGAACGGTTACGGATTGGAACCTGGGCAGGATAGAAATCTCCTATTTTGGACTGCTTGGAAGCAAACCATCTGTATCACTGGGGCGTTTAGAGACCCCCATGGTAACTGGGCGACTTCCTGCGGGGTTCCTTGATCCTGAATATAGTCTTGAGGGTAACACTGCAGGATCCACAAGTTAACAAATTTAGGGCAGATTCCCCGAGCCTTGAATTAAT